GATGTTCGGCAACAGACGGTACAGGCGGAAGATCCAAGCGATGAGAAATTAAAGCGCCCGCCAGTGGAGCGCTGTCCAAAGAAACCGGCGGTTATGCGGCCGCCCTCGATCTTGACCAGTGAGTTCCTGGGACGCAACCCCAGTGATGTGATAAACGCAGAATACGGCAACAGGGCAATTGTGAGGATGTCTGCCAACAATACGATCGATTGCAGAGACGTGGAATATGTGCATACGGCGGGTAGGCGCAAAAGCGACATGCTGCCCGCCTTTAGCGAGTCCTTTGGCTACCCGGAGCCAAGTAGACGCCACTCTCAGAGCTCCATTGATTATGCGTTGCCCAGCAGCAGACAGGCTGGCCTGCCACAGCCGAGCTCCATACTGAAGTCTGCGTCGAAGCCGCTGACCAACATGCTGAAGCAGGTGACCGATGTACGGCATGTGAATTTCATGTCAACCAACATGTCGGACCTTATTGTCCCTTCGCGTGAACATCGGCAGGCCGTCTACGCCGAGGCGGAGGGAACTACCTCTTTCAGCATGCACTCCGGTAAACATCGTCCCGCGATAGTTCGCGCCCAATCCGTATACAAGAGCGTGCCGCATAAGTTTAGTTTTATGCAGCCGAAAAGATCGAAGAGCATAGAATCGCCGCTGGCTGAGACAGAGAAGATGCCATCGCTCTTTGCAATACCCACCTTGCCATTTACTCAGGAGACGGCGCATATTGGCAACTCGAAGGTTTACCACCAGAGCTACACCGGTCACAAACGATTGTCGACACGCACGAAGACGACACCAAAGCAGCGAAAGTTGGAGGAGAGCCGTTTGCCCACTAACTCGCAGCTGTTGACGAAGCGGGGCGACATTCCAAGGATAAAAAGAGTAGCCAAAGATCGTCCAATGCCACGGAGTGTGTCGCTATTCTCCGACTTGGATTTCAACACATATTATACGCCCGCACGTCACATTACCAACATAAAGAATACGGATCTTCCTGGCACCACCACCACCGATATGTCGCTCACGCTGACCACTGTGCTGGATCAGATTAAGCATAAGTGCCGCGGCTGCAGCACCAACAGTTGTCCACCCACAGCCGAATGCCGTTTGCCCCCACCATCGTCCTCCGACGATGATGAGGATAGTGAGCCGGATTATAAGAGACTGTCATATCCTTGCTCTCCGCACAAAGTGATGGGCAACACTCAGGACTTGGGTGAGGACAATTATCCGAGACGTCGCTGCTGCCTGCGCCGGCTGCCCGAAGAGCCGATTGTCATTGCGCCCACCTCCGGCGGTCTGCGTCTGCAGCAGCTCAGACAGAAATGTCTGCCCACGCTCTTTTACGGCCGGAGGTGCTGAGAACCAAGTCGTCCAGCTGGAGTAAATCGCAACGCTTCGCACACATTAAGTAATATACGCTCGATGTGTCCAAAGCTAGTGTGAACAATATTGATCCGTCTTCTTTTTTTTTTTTTTTTTGTGAGAAAGGGTATTGAATAAAAAAAAGTTACAAAAAGAAGCCCTCTTGAAAATTGTATTTGAGTAACTCCTCATGTCTCCCGATTGCTCTCATATTTACCTCTGGTTTATTGTTCCTTCCTGCCTGTTTGCTGTATCTCTGTGTTGGTGTTAATCGAGTCGTTCTGGAAAATTGTATGTAATTATAATCAACGTGAATTTAAGCTTTGGCACCTCTAAATATTCCTCGATCAGAATTTTCCTACTAAAAGTGCTTGACTTCTGTTACTGCCTGAGTTAACAGCCTGATTGCAGTGCCCTGTAAACTAACAGCTCTCTGTTAAATCGGAGTTTGTTCCATTGCTAACTCATCTCTGTCCAACCATTTCGATCTCTTTTAACGGATTTTCTTTCTTTGTTCTTTACAGAATCGTCTCGGCCATCCAGGCCTCGTTCTCCTTTCTGGTGGGTCTGATCGTCTGCAAGTCAACGTGCAGCAAGTCGTTTGTGTATGCCTCGCACTTTCTAATGGAGGCATACGGCTGGTTCGGCACCGCCTATTTCATGTACGACATTTGGTCCATGTACAAGGTGCACACCCAGAAGATTGCCGACAAGCTGCACTTGCTGCGCCTGACCAAGTCCCAGCCCTTTACCAATGGCCATGCCCGCAAGTATTACGACAAGGCCGGCGTTGGTGGAGGCGACCGCGGCGGTGGCAACAACAACGGCAGCACGCCGAGCACTCCGCACGAGATATGCGACTATGATGGCGCCTGTGTCCAGATACCCAAGGATGGCCGTTGGGACTTCTTGAAGTATGTGCTGACGCATCCGGTTATGATGATACATCACGTCTTCATTGGCACCTTCGGACTGCTGGTCGTGACGGTGAGCATCGAATGGAATTATATACATATAAGCATGCCGTAATACTGTTCCTTGCTTTCAGTATATACGCGGAGGCGGACATTGCATCTATAGCTACATGTTCATGATGGAGTTCTCCACGCCGTTTGTCTCGCTGCGCAGCATTCTGAGCACGATGGGCCTGAAGGACTCGCGTGTGTATATTGTCAATGGACTCCTGATGCTGGTCACGTTCTTTGTCTGCCGCGTCTGCATGTGGCCATATGTCATGTGGCGCTATAGCCTGGCCATCGATGCCGCCTCCATGTGGTCGGCCATGTGCGGATTGCCGCGCGGTTGCCTCATCAGCATTGCCATATTGTTCTTGCCGCAACTCTACTGGTTCTATCTAATGCTTATGGGTGCACTTAAGGTATGTACTTGTCCTGCTCTCTCTCTCTTTCTCTCGTTTTGTTCAGAGAGAGATAGATAATGTTGGCTCTCATTTATTTTCATGTGTTTTCACAGGTTTTTCTGCCTAAGCGACGGAAGCAGCCATCGGCTCTTGGCACTCAGCCGCAGGCGAATGCCCTGACAGACACGCCCACTTCCACGCCTACGCCCACGCCCACGCCTCCAGCTTCACCGAAGCCCACGGCCACGCCCACGCCCTTACCCACGCTAGCCACCCTCACCAGCAATGGCAAGCAGAAGTAGTGCGAATTGTTAAAGTTGACGAGATGCAATTGAGGAGGAGAGGAGAGAAGTCCGGCCCCAACTGCATAGCTATTAATACATCTAACTAATGTATTTTAACACTTTTTTTTTGTTTTGTTTTTGCAACACCACTTGCACACGCCTTGCTTTTGTTTATTAACTATTTAACATGAGGAATCGCAGCAGTTAATTTTACACAATGTTTTGAGTAAAGCTTTTCGGGCAGAGCTTTTTGTTAGCTTTAGAAAAACAACAGACAGCCTGATCCCAGCCAGAGACACTTGTTTAGTTATATATACTTATAAAA